GAATATTTATTCCTTTAGCACTAATCCTGGAAGAGTTTGAATACTTTTAACATAAAATCTGGAAAATAAGTTTGGCTTCCATCTGTGGATGGGTAATAGTGATATTTTTCTTGAGCCTGTTATAGGAATAAAAAGAATATCTTAACCAAGGTTGCTGCTTATCATATTTGAGAAAAGTGTATTTTTTTAGAGGACATTGTAGAACATAGGTTGCTTACACTGAAGAAAGGGCATATTTTTAAGCATTAAACTCTGTAAGGTTTAAGTCCCATTACAAGAAATACCACTCCAAAAGTAAACCAAACATCCAATAATTAGAAACTCTATTGATCCCCAAACTAAAGTGATATTTAAAACAAGTTTTCCAACAAATTGTGAGCACTCCTTTTTTCCCACAAAAAAGTATCCTAATAATAATATAAAAGAAAAACAATAGTTTTTATGTCCTCCACACATACATCATCATCACTATAATTACTGATCCAACTAAACATCTATTACTGGCTTGCTATAGGAAGGAACATAGGAGATGGTTTGATTTTTGTGGCATAGTTTAGTATCAAGAACCTAAAGAGCTTAAGGGGAAGTGATATGCATACTTGAAGACATAGAACTCCTGGTGATTGTATTCTAAGTCAACACATCTTTGATGAGTCTGCGATTCATTGGTGTGTCCTTTAAAGTTTCTAATGCCAGAGTCTAATTTGTGAATGTAGGTCCCCATTATGGAATCATCCCTATTCAAGGAAGTATAGAACACTCACATGGTGCTCAGACTCCTCCTCTCTCTCACTATAGGCTACATCAGGTTTCTCCACCTAGCATTACTCTTCACTACTTAGAGCAGAACTGTGGCTGCATGCTTTTCTTCAGCATTCTGCCCTTCTACTTCCCTCTCTAGAGCACGAGACTTGGCCATCTACAACAAATGAGGGTTAACAGAAAAAGCTGACATGTCTGTTAGATTTTCAGCCACAGCAACTTCTAACTCTCATTTGGTGGTCCACACCTTTTATAATAGTCTAGGACTATTGGATGGAGCTCTGCTGGCGTCCTCTAAAGCTGTGCTGCTAACCAAAAGAGTGTATGTCTCTAGAGGTTCAAGGACAAGGATCCAGAGATAAATGTGCTTATTTAAAACTGTCATTATGAAAGTCAGCAAATATCAGCATTTCTTTCTCAAATTTAATTCTAATAGTTGTTGTTGTGTTCTGTGTTTGTTGTTTTTTTTTAAATTAGGTCAATGATCCTTTTGAGAAGGAGGCAGGACAGGGTTTCATGGGAGAAAGACGGGTAGTTTTCTCCTGTTACCTGAATTCACATCCTCTGGAACTCAATGGAGGGTCATTATGAGTCAGAACTGACTGTATGGGAAGGAGGCAAGAAAGCAGGAGGAGAGTGAGAATTATTATGAGTGAATCAGCAGAGCTGAACCATATTTTGAGAATAAAGGGTGGACCTGAGAGGTATAGTGTTGAAGGGAGACACCTACCAGTAAGAAGTTAGCAGTACCAACCTCTTCTGTTTGTCTTACAGTTCTTTTATGTAAGCTGGATTTTCCCCCACTTCTTAACTAGGAGAAAAATTCTTGTAAGACTCAATTTATCACAGGAGAGAACATTCAGTGCCTTTAGAAAGATACCTGGATGTGGGACCTCGCAGGTAGAAATAAAGTCCTAAGGCTGGAGTGACTGTATAGACTGAACAGACATTGAACAACCATTCTATTCACAGGCCGGCTGTAGGCGTATCCATCACCACTCCAGAGCCTTTGTTTCTCTCCCGACATATTGGACACTTGTTGAAAGGGAGGTTGTATCTCAACGGCACACCTTGCTGTTTTCACCTTTCTCTAATCCACTAACTTCCTAATTAAAAGCCTTTCTCTCTTCAATGAAACTTGGTTTGCTCATTTTTAATTTGGTCACTCCAGGGAAAAACCAACCTCATGTTTCAGAGTAACAGTAGTTCAAAATATTTTGGAGAACTAGAATAGAATATTGCTTGTATAATAGTATAGCTTATTCATAGTGTCACTATGAGTCATACTCAACTTGACAGCACCCAACAACAACAACAACAGTGCAGAGGTCACAGGTAGGAGTGGGGGGAACTGCAGAACAGAATGGATGACTGAGGGGTGTGTATGTGGGGGTGGAGTGGGTATGTGTGTGTGTGTTGTTGTGGGTGAGGGAAGGAGAGGGAGAGAAAGATTACATATGTTTTAATTGTGATTATTTTTTTCTTTCACTTAAATTATCTTGGAAACTCCGAAAACATCATTCATATAAAATGAAACCATTTGATTCCCAATCTGGGAATAAAGACACTTTGATCAGTGCCAAACATCTTCTGTAATGATCCCAGTGACAAATGCACATGCAACTAAGTCTAATCATACTCACTGCATCATCAATAAAATTCTACATTCCTTACATTCAAATGAATCTTACTGTCCTTTTATGAAAACGGTACAGCTGTTGGACATACCTTTCTAAAAAAAGAATCAATAGTCATGTTAGTCAATACTATTAACTGCATCTTTCATCCGTAAGAGGCTTTAAAAGAATTCTGTAATTAAACCAGTAACACAAAAGTAGTAACACAAAAGTAGGGCTAGGTTCTTAGTTTGTTTCTTTCTACTGTTGTCAGCATCATGAAAGGAGAAAGGTCCATAGACAATCATGCTCATTTAAAATTGTAATTATCATAGTAAAATAACAAGGCATCTCCACTTCTCAAATTAAAGTCTAATAGTTGGTTTTGAGTTCTTAAATTAGGTAAATGTTCCTTTTGAGAGTGAAGCAGGGCAGGAATCTCAGGGTGGGAAGTACTGAAGTACTGGGAGACTTTAATAAGCATTCACATATTTATTAGTGCCAGGCCAACTTGAGTAATAAAATATAGAAGCAATTGCTTAATAGACATTTCACAGGTGGATAACACAACATTCTGCAGTTACACATGTTAGAAAAGAGTCTCTGTTTTTTCTTGTTCTTTGGTTGAATGTGGGCAAAAGAAACTAACTCTCAATTATGCAGATTTTCTTTTTTTTGCCTTGAAAATAATTTCGAATACAACGGTGGAGAGTTCTTTTGGTCAGGTCCGATCAGGATTAACTAAAGAGTGGTTTTAAAATGTATGTTGATGTTACAGCTGACTTTTTATTACTTCAAAAGAGCTGGATATGTGCTGATGCCAATAGGATGACGCTTTTTCTTTTCAGTCGCATGGAAGCTCAATATACTCCATTCATTGCTCAAGCAGACCTCAAAGAATCATTTTAAAAGGCTACCATGGCTGAGGACTGAAAAGTAATATTTATCAACATTAAATAAACACTTTGTGAAGTATGCATAAATATTTCTTCATATAAACATAACACAAAATTAAATAGTTCAGATACACAGACACCACGGAGTACACGTCCACTGTTGTCAAAGTTACCTGTAAACACCACCTCACACTTAATACAAAAGCAGCTTGTAGCCCAGCTCACAACACTGAGGCCTGGTACAAAGGTAAGTGTTTCCACCCCTCCCCACTCCCACCCCACCCTCTGCCCACACAGCCCAGCAAGAAGAAAAAGAAAAGGAATTTCAACAGCTACAGCAGCAGCAACAACAACAACGACAGCAGCAGCCTATCTCATCCCCCAAGTAAAACAAGAATCATGTGGTTTGATTCAAAGGGTAATAAAAAAAGTAAGTTTCCAAAATGTAAGGAAATCAATTTGGAGCAATATTTTGCCAAAGGAGTCCTTTCTCCAGAGGCCATGCCACTGTCCAAACCCTACCTACTCCTGGAGGACACTGGCCACTGCTCTATTACAAAGTTTTAAGCCCTTTATTCTTGTGGAAAGTTCCAGGTAGCAAGACCTAAAATTCTATGTTCTCCTTCTCTTACAACTTTTCTTTTCTTTATATATTGCTGTGTAATGACATTCAAACGTGACATGATTATTGCATTTCAAGCGGTTTAGCTAGCAGGAACTTTGTTTGGAACCACGTCCAGATTTGGACTTTTAAGTTCCACTACGTGGTTGTGACTCACTCTCAGAGCTGAGAAGGGCTCTGGGTTTGCGGTGTTAAAGAAGATACCAAAAAAAGAGATTGCTTACACTCTGCGTCGGTCAAACCACGGTGCTCGACTTGGCTTGTGAGAGAGAATTTCTCCCAGAGTGGTTTGTGGAAAACATCCCCAAAGCATTAAATTGGGCTTACCCTTATGTTGTGTCAGGATCCTAGAGAAAGTCAGTTCCCGAAGTACTGGAAACATACATGCTGCCGTCATAATTGCCAGTTGAGTGTTTCCCAGTATATTATATACATGTGTGTGTGTGTGTGTGTGTGTGTGTGTGTGTGCGTTCTTGTGTGTGTGTGTGTGTGTGTGTGTGAAACTCACACATACACGTGTACTTATGTATCTTTATTTGTATGAAACTTGATCTGCACAAAACAGTACTTTGCAAGAATTGAGAATTAAGTCCACAAGAGAGTTTAACAACACATAGAGTAGACAGGAATCTCTATGGGGGCACAAAGGTTCAGCCTGGTGACACACGCAATTGTTTCCGAAACCAGGGATCCATCAGCTGGCTGGGTACCACGCAGCATCTGGTTCAAAGCCAGGATCCTTGGAGATTCCAGAGCTCATGGGAAAGAACACACCCAGGCAGGTTGATTTGGTCTGTAATTGCTGTGAAGTATTTTCCCCCACCCTTTTCATGAAAAAAGAAAAACAAAACCCATCTTTCTCTTATTTTTCAGGATGCCTCGAAGTCTATTTCAGGATAATTTTCTTTATCTTCAGTACTGTGTAACTATGTGACTTATATTTAAATGGGCTCACCCAAAAGATCAGTAAACAGGCAGCTTGCTTCACACCCTTGGCAAGGCTGCTTTGTGAGTGTGGAAACCACTGCCACCTCCCCCGACCCCCTCTTAAGGTGTGTGGGTTGGCATGTGCGCTTGGCCATCGCTACAGCAGTCGGCTGTGTCCTACAAGGCCTGCTCAGGGACACGCTTGTGGAAGATGACGGACTGTCTTTGCTGGTACTGCTGCTTCCTCCTCTTCCTCTTGCCGCACTGGCACAGGAGCAGCATCTTGAAGGTGGTTCTGAACGTCTTGTTGCACAGGGCATAGCACACGGGGTTCACCGTGCTGTTGATGTAGCACAGCCAGTAGCCCAGGTTCCAGTAGGTTTTGGGGATGCAGCTGTCACAGAAGGTGTTCACCAGAACCATGATATTGTACGGGGTCCAGGTGACGATGAAGGCAAGTAAGATGGCACTGAGGGTCTGGGCTGCCTTCTTCTCCTTGATGAGGGACATTCTTTTCCGCTTAGTGATCTGACTCCTGGTCTTCAGAGCAAACCTCTTGGCCAGGGTCGCTTCTTTGAAGGACAGAGGTAGAGTGGCCGTGGTCTTCCCCACTGAGGAGTTGCCATCAGAGGTTTTGCCTGCATCCACGGCTGACTCTAAGTGGATAGGAAGCTTCGAGAAACTTCTCTGGAAACTGCCACCATCCTCCACACTCTTCTGGGTCTGCAGTTTGTTGGGCTTCCTCTCCAGGTTGGCTTTCATCAACTCCTCATCGGGCACTTGCAGGTTGTCTGAGGAGGGCAACTTGGTGGCGTTGAGGATGGTGCTGTGACCAGGAAGCTTGAGGACGATGGAGTAGATGGCCCTTGTCTCAGAGCCAATGTCTTCCTCATCAGACGAGGCGGAGTTTTCCAGGGAGGCAACTGCGTCATTGTTGTTCCAGCTGTCACTGCTGCTGTGGTCGGGCTCCATCGGCTCAGCACTGGGCTTCCAGCTCTTGGTTGTGAACCAGAAGTGGCAGCGGCCGTACTTCCTGTGGGCCGAGTGCTTCACGTTCTGCTGCTGAAGTTCATAGCTGCTGCAGCTCCGAGAGCTGCCAGTCGGATGGACAAAGTTTTCAGCCTCTGCTTCTGTTCCAGAGGCCTGCAGGCCAGCCAGCTCTTTGGTACGCTTCTCAGTTTCCTTATAGATCCTCCAGTACAAAATAGTCATAATAGTAACAGGCATGTAAAAAGCCGCTATGGCTGTGCCAAAGGTAATGGTGGGCTCACTGAGGAACTGAATGAAACACTCCCCTGGGGGCACAGTTCTCTTTCCAACAAAGTACTGCCAGAACAGGATGGCAGGTGCCCAAAGGACGAAAGAGATGACCCAAGCCAGGCCAATCATCACGCCAGCTCTTTTTGTGGTTCGTTTGGCTCGGTAAGTGAGTGGCCTGGTGATGGAAAAGTACCTGTCAAAGCTAATAACCAAAAGGTTCATGACAGAGGCATTAGAAGCCACATAGTCAATGGCAAGCCAGAGGTCACAGGCTAGATTTCCCAATGCCCAGCGGTTCATGATGATGTATGTAGTAAACAGATTCATTGAAATGACCCCGATAATCAGGTCCGCACATGCCAGGCTTAAGAGGAAGTAGTTGTTGACTGTCTTTAGCTGCTTGTTGACTTTAAATGCCACGATAACTAAGATGTTGCCAATAATAGTGACCAGGGCCAGGAAACCCGTCAAGAATGCAATGAAGACCACTTGCCAGATGGTGTGGCCTCCCAGAGGGTCACTGTCAGTGCCATCCGGAGAGGAGATATTCCCAGCTGCCTGAGAAATGTTATAGCTGCTAAGTTGCGTGACTGTTCCTGGTGGCAGTCCCGTGTCTGAGGGCCCATGAATCCAGGAAGAGCTGATGTTTGGAAACAAAGATGAGGTTGTACTGTTATTGTGCACGATCATTGTGGCACTCTGACATAATCTGGGAAAAGAAAGAAAAGAAGGTGTTAGGGAGCTGTCTTTCTTAACTGAAGTATCCTTTGCATTGTATGCTCCAAAAGGCACCACAAGCACATTAGAGGATGCTGAACTTCTTAGAAGCCTCAAATATGAAGCCCAGTCTCTTAGGGAGTGTAAAAGTGAAGAGCATACGAGCAGAAACAAATTTATCCAAAGAAGCACAGTTAGCTGGTGACATACATTGGATTTGTTTACCACTTCTTTCCACACCTCCGCAGTGCTGTGGCCAAGCAAAATCTTCATTATTTTATAAAAAAGAAAATATCAGACACACATAGAATACTTAAAGAGCTATGATGGCCTAGTGGTAAGAAGCTGGGCTGCAATCCCAAAGCCCAAGTCCCAAACGTTCGAATACCAACTGCTCTGAGGGAGAAGGATGGGCAATTTCCTTCCATGTGATTTACTGCCCACTGGAAAACCCATTGGAGGGTCACTTATTGGTCAGTCCTGACTTGACAGAAAACAGCAACACCACACATAATACTTAAGGGGCCCTGTTGGCACAGTGTGTAAAGTGCTGAACTGCTAACCAAAAGCTTGGTAATTCCAATCCAGCAGCTACCCAGGTAAAAGGATGAGTAGTCTACTCTCTTAAAGATTTACGGCGTCAGAAAACCATGGAGGTCACTATGAATTGGACTTGACTTGATGCTGGATGGCAGTGGTGGGGCATGATATTTATCTAATGTCTGTTTATCACCACAATACCTGACATACTAATTTCATTCATTTTCATTTTATCTATTAAGACAAATTCCTTATCCTACACTTTGGGCACATGCAACTTAAAAGCAATATTAATTATGTAAGTGGAATGAGGAACACCAATTCAGATCACAAGGTAAAAGAATATAAATCAACTTACATTAAAACACTGATGTAAAATCTCATAAAAATAACTTATAGCAATTATTTTTAAAATGGAAATATAAAAGTATTTTCTTTTTTTTAAATTTTGTTAGTTTTAATGAACATTTACAGAGATTTTGGGTTTTCATTCATTCATTGTTGCAGTGTTTTCTCCACCCTCCCCCCCAGTTCGTTCTTCTTTGCCCCCCATGTCTGTTTTAATCGTCCAATTGCCACAGTGCTTGTCAAAGCCAGTTCTGATTAATCTCCTTTGTCAGTGTGTCCCTTGCCATTCCCTATCACTCCTCCCTGAGAGAGACTTCACCCTGATTCATAAGGAAAAGGGGATGGCGTATTCTCTTAGCTACTTCCTGCTGAAAAGGGACGCTGTGGATTTCAGGGTGAAGGTCTTCTCTCAAAAGCAGTATTTTCATCCTTTGCAATGGTTGACCACAGAACTGCCTACAAAATGCAGAAGAATCATTACCATAATGCTTTGAGCTATTATTGATCTCTTATTATTAACTATTAAGTATAGTCAGACTATTCCTTATATTTAGCATTCTAACTGCAACAAGGAAAAAGGTAATTTAGCCTATTATACACATACTTGCATACAGTTGCAAAATTGCAATTAGCCTTTAAAACTTTATGCCAAAACATGATGCATCATCAGCTAGACCCCACAGCATGTAATTGCCAGCGTGGTGTGACTCTCCCTGGGTGCCGACTGTGCTGTGCTGTGAAGATAGTACAGGACAGCTCAGAGACACTGTGGGCTTAATTCCACACAGCTAAGATTTTGCAGTAAAGTGAGCCACATGAATGTTTTGGTTTTCCAGCGCATATAAAAGTTATGATTACTTTATATTTCAGTCTGTTTGGTAAATAACACAGTTCCCTATTAACTATGCTATCTGAGAGCTGCATAGCAACCCAAATACCACATCTGTCTGGTGGTTCAAATCCACCAGCTAAGCAATTTACAGCCTCCTAAAACCCCATTGGAGCAATAAGTTTGCTCTGACTCAATGGCAATATGTTAAATTGAGTTGTAATCTATTAAATGTGCAATGGCTAGACAACAGACAGACATAAAGCTCTCACTGGCTTTCCCTGACACGCACTCACATACAACAGAAGAAAGGAGGTTAAAAAACCCCTACAATACTATCATCACCACAATGTCCCAGAAGCAGCAGATAACCTCAAGCCCCACAAAAATAAAACAAAGTGTAACTAAAAAAAAGTGGTCAAAACATGGAGTCAGTGGATATACTGGAAGAGGAAATGCTGATGGAATTCTCTCAAAGAGAATTCAGAATTCCATCTTAGGATGGAAGAAAGAGATGGAGAATTGAGGAAAGTCACAAGCAAAACTCTAGAAAACAAAACAACTTAACCACCAATTTAAGACAAAGCAAATAGCAATCAATGAAATATTAAAAACCAGTAGAAAAGCAAGAAACTGTAATCCAGAATAATAAGACCAACATTTCCAAAGCTATCAACATGCTGGAGGGACAGAAGAGCAAAATGAAAGCGATGGACTGCAGAATCAGAGAAACAGAAGATAGAGGCCAGAGTACTTATCCGTTAGAGGAAAAAGTGAAATAAAAAGGAAGCAAAATGAAGAAGACCTAAGAATTATCTGGCATACTATCAAGAGGAATAATATGCAACTGGAATTCTGTTTCCTCATTTATAATCACTGGTTCATATGGTACTTCCTGAAATTTTTCAGTGTCAATCAGCTCTTTCTGGTACAGGGATTCTGTGTATTCCCACTATCTTGTTTTGATCCTTTCTGAGTCATTCAATATATTTCCCATAGCAGCTGCATTAAAGGCATTGGCAAGAAATAAGGCTCCAGCTATTGATGGGATACCAACTGACTTATTTCAATTCACAGTGCTGCCCTGAATGCACTCACCAGTCTATGTTAGGAAATCTGGAGGACAGCTGTCTGGCCAATGAAATGGAAGAGGTCCATGTTTGTTCCCATTCCCAAGAAAAGGGATTCAAATGAATGTGGGAACTACTGAACAATATAATAAATATTATCAATATTATATGCAAGGAATATACTGCTGAAGATCACACAAAAATGGCTAGAATGAGAGATGATAGATAGATAAATAGGAAACTGCTAAAAGTTCAAGCAGGATTTAGGAAAAGCTGTTGTACCTGGACTATCATTGCTGATGTCAGATGGATCCTGGCTGAAAGTAAAGAATACCAGAAGAATGTCTATTTATGCTTTATTGACTATGCAAAGGCATTTGATTGTGCGGATCATGACAAGTTGGGTCTGACATTGAGAAGAATGGGAGTCTCGGAGCTCTTAATTCTGCTCATGATGAACCTGGACCAGGTGGCTGTTGTGCAAACAGAGCAGCGGAACACTGCACGGCTTAAAACTAAGAAGGGGGCCAGACGGGAGAACGCCACCACCAGATGGGGTTCCACCGCGAGAGGGACCTGGAAGAGACCCGGGAAGAACAACAGCCAGCCACCTACCGCAGAACTCCAGAGGAGCAAAGACTGTGAGACCCCAGAGGAACGAAGACTACCCGACACTGTGTGACCCCCCTGCAACCCACACCTGTGTGACCCTTAACACACAGGGTGCTGCACAAATCCCCAGCAACGCCCAAGCCCCGCCCCCACCTCTTGGTGATAGTGTCCAAGCACTGCGCTCCTTGCCCCCTAGTCCCTTGCTTTCCTCCCCTTCCCCC